GGGAAAGGATCATGGTTTATAGTCAAATTGCATCAGCACCCAGGGATGGGTGATGGTCATTTGATGATGCCTTTGAGACCCCCATGTGGGGAAGAATATTCAGAGGGTATTACTTGAGTGATTTTGATAGTTCTGAGGCATTGTCAGCTTGGTTGCACCAGATTGAGAAAATCTTTCCGAGGTCTGTTGCCTCACTAGATCCTCTGTAGTGCAGTCACAGAGCCAGGAACACGCTGCAAAGTTTGGCCAGGTGAGTGGTCTAACCTCTTCAGCTTTCCGTCCTCAGAGGAAGCAGTGTCCCCTACTGGCCTAGATGAGCTGGCTGTCACACCTCCACCGTGCATCTGGGCATGCTGTCCACCGCACAGGCATCAGCAACTGAGGGGGCACAGTCCTGACACACGCACTCCAAGGTCGGACCATATCTTGTGATTTTCCCTATGGCTAGGAATTGAGTCCAGCTATCTAGTTGGAGACAGCCTCCCCCCACCAAAAAAAAACTTTGCCTGGGGTGACCTCAGACTCAACTCTTATGTGCACAGCCAGTGCAGGGAAAGATTGGGTCTGTTACCTGCCCAGCCAAGCATGCACCCCAGCCCCAGCTTTTGGTATGCCAGGGCATGGTGGATAAGCTATTTAGCCTGGCCTAAGCCTCCCACTTGGGCGGGTGTCTTGAACATACCTTCTGGTTTTCCCTCCAAACCACCCTGTCTCAGCTCCCTTGCCTACCTGAGAGTGTGAGTCTCTGGTCTGTGGAAGCCACGAGAAGTCACTCCTCCCCTGTCCAACTTCTCCCCTCAGCAGCCCCCATTCCAACAATCCCCTCCCTACCTTCCCCAGGCAATCTGCAACCCCATCACCACCCTTTGACATGTGGCGTGCCTGACGGGCAGGGCTGCGTGTCCTGGCTCGGCATCCCCTACCTTCCCTGCATATTTTTTAAAAAAGAAAGAAAAAAAGAGGCAACCATCTTGGCACCCTGGTAGAGTTAGCACAGATTTGGCATTAACCAGAATGCCCAGCAGTTACTGGCTGCTTTTCTCCCAGCAGTGTACCACCTGCACAGCTACAAGGCTCCCCAGGCAGCTGCCTGTAGTTTTAATAAAACTGGTGTATGTCTATGTTTTGTTCCTGTGGGTACTGATTGTTACCAGTAGCCAGTTTTAACAACTATAACAATGTAAGTAATGCCCATAAGATATGTAATTGTTTTCAGTTTTGCCAATCTGAAAAAATAGATAACATGAAGAGGCCTGTGCTGTAGCATAACAGGTTAGACTGCTATGATATGACTGCGATGCTGGTTTGAGTCCCAACTGCTCCACTTGTGATCCAGCTTCCTGCTAGTGTGTTTGGGGCAGCAGCAGAGGATGCTTTTCTTGGGTCCCTGCCGCCATGTGGGAGACCCTGAAGAAGGTTCTAGCTCCTGGTTTTGGGTCTGCCCAGTCCCAGCTGTCAGGGTTATTTAGGGAGTCAAATCAGCAGATGGAAGATTTGTCTCTCCCTCCTCTGCTTGTGACTCTGCTTTTCAAGAAAGCAGATAAATCTGTAAAACAAATACAATGAAATATTATGACCAGAAATATATTTTATAGTTCAGTAGAGGGTATGGTAAGCATTGTGGTCATGGCTGACTGGCTTGGAGACAGGGGTAAGACACCGACCTCCCTCCCTGCTGAGGGGCCTGGGGAAGGTTCATGGTTAGGAAGAGCTGGTGCATAGCTCTGATTGCAGGGACTTGCAGTAGGGCACTTCGGCTGGTTACAGTGGGCCTCACACCGGATTTCCGTTCTTAGCTGACTGCTGAAAGGGCTTTGACCTGTTTCTGTCTCAGTCATGGTCCTATCTATTTGATTCCATCATGAAGTTTCTCCTCCTCCTTTTTCTCTTCACATTTATTTATTTATTGGAAAGACAGAGAGACAGAGACAGACAGATAGAGAGAGCGCGTGCCCCACTGGTTCACCCCCGAGTGGCAGTGACTGGGAGTGCAGCTAGGGTTTGCCTTCCGCACATGCCCTCAGGGCCTGCTTGACCAGGTGTTCAGAAATGCTCTCCTGTACAGCTTGGAAAGCTGCGACTAGACCCTTATGGTGGCGGGCCCCTGTTGTTAAAGCACGGAGCAACAAAGAAGCCAGGCTACCTGGCAGGAGGCTTCTAAATTTCTGGTACATCAAGAGGACACATGGGCCCGGCGTGGTGGCGCAAGTGGTTAAAGGTCCTCACCTTGCACACCCGGGATCCCATATGGGCGCCGGTTCTAATCCTGGCAGCCCCGCTTCCCTTCCAGCTCCCTGCCTGTGGCCTGGGAAAGCAGTCGAGGACAGCCCAAAGCTTTGGGACCCTGCACCCGCGTGGGAGACCCGGAAGAGGCTCCTGGCTTCGGATCGGCATAGTGTCGGCCCGTTGTGCTCACTTGGGGAGTGAATCATCTGACAGAAGATCTTCCTCTCTGTCTCTCCTCTCTGTATATCCGCCTTTCCAATAAAAAAATAATAAAAATAAATCTTAAAAAAAAAAAAAGAGGACACCTGACTAAGCGACACTCTCAGGCACAATAATAAAGATCAGTGGTGTTAAATTTGAGCAAAGAAGTATCAACTATTTTGATATCTGTGTTTTCCAATGCAAATTAAACTTGTTGAAGGCTTCCTAATTAGGAAAATTGCAGCAGAAACAATTGCCTTCTGTTTGTAAACCATGTTTTTATTTTTGCCTACAGCTGGAATGGCAGTGTAAAGCTGTAAAACAATAGGAGTTTATACTATTACAATATAGATCACCACTATTAAAAGAGATACTTGTGTCATCTTTTTCTTTTAACTGTTTCCCAAATTGAGGTGGAAAGGAGCTTACTTAAATGATGGTTGGACCCGCTGTGGTAGCTTAGTGACTAGAGTCCTCACCTTGCATATTCCAGGATCCAATATGGGTACTGGTTCGTATCGCAGCTTCTCCACTTCCCTTCCAGTTCCCTGCTTGTACCTTGGGAAAGCAGTAGAGGATGGCCCAAGGCCTTGGGACCTGGAACCTGTGTGGGAGACTCAGAAGAAGTCCCTGGCTCCTGGTTTTAGACCAGCTCAGTTCTGGCTGTTGCAGCTACTTGGGGAGTAGTGAACCAGTGGACAGAAGATCTTTCTGTCTCTCCTACTTTCCTTATATCTGCTTTTCTAGTAAAAATAAATAAATATTAAAAAGGGGGAATGATAGTAATAATGGGAAATCAGTAATAATAGGAAAATATTTGATTTAGAATATTAAGAGAGGAAAGGAAGTGAGGACATGCATGTGTTTTCTTTTTAACAAAATGTGTGAGGGGTTTGCTTTACCACCGAAATGCTTGCTTCCACGCAAGTTAAAGTCTAAAGCCAATAACACCTACACTTGCTCACTTAGCGTTCAGTGCTGTATCATTGCCATGTTGCTGCCAAATACTGTTTGATGATGATTAGAGAATTTTTTCAGGGGAAATTATGTTTACAGTAACATTTTTCTTTCTTTTTTACGGTGGTCTCATGTCGCTGCCCAGCAGCTACACTAAAAGATGAGGCACGCTCTTGAGGGTCTGGGAAAAGCCAGAACTACAACCGGACCCCTCACTGCCAAAAGCGGCTGCGTTTAAACCCTTTTCTCTGCTGCTCCTTTCCCCATTGGCCTTGGCTTTCCTCTGCTGCTTCTCCAGCCCTCTCTCCGCCACCCTTCTTTGTTCTGGTCCCCATTTTCTGCTGCATTTCTCCATTCTTGTCCCTGAACTTAGGTCTTACTACTTCTCTACCGCTTTTCCAGCCCTCTCTCCGCCACCCTTCTTCCTGCCCGTCCTTCTCCCCATCCTGTCTCTCTCTGTCATAGTCTCTCCGTCTTTCTCGTCATTGTCATCATCATCATCATCATCATCCGTCCCTCTGTCTTGACTGTCTTTCTCTCTTAGTCGTCTGTTGTGTCAGTTCGGTCCGTCGCCTAGCTTTTACCGGCTACTTTTATATCGTTTCTCCACCAATCACTTCTCTCCATGGGTCCACCTTCGCTGATAGGCCAGTAGCAATGACATAATTGCAGTGGGCGCATTAGCCTATCCCTGTGACTTCCTGTTTACCTGCTGGGGAGACCAACCCCACCTCCTGGCCCTGGGCCAGCCTCCATCTTGTGATGGCCCCTCCCAAATCCCAGGAGGGCTCTAGCACCCTGCTCCCCACAGTCTCAGAGTTATTGGAAAATAGAAACTTGTTTTAACGTTTTACTGTAAGTTTTTTCAGTATTGCTATTACATGTCTTATCTAAATTTTTAGAAATCCATTTAAAAAGAGATAAAAGAGAATGGATTTCTTTTTTGACACAATGCAAAATTTTGTAAGCATTCAGCCTAATGATTTAACATATTCCTGTTTAGGAAGAATAACATGGATCACGCTTGAATGACAATCGTTAAGATTTTTCAAGGGCATAAATCGGGTTTAGTCATTTTATGAAGTGGACTCAGTCACTGTATATTACTTACTGTGGTTTTTACCAAATGGCAAAATAATTGTTATTGCACAAAGTATTTCTAAAGTTAGCACATTAGCAGAACATCTTGACTCTGTGAGATGTGTTTTGTCTAAAAGCATGTATTCAAGTAGTCTTATTTTGGACTCACAAAGGCATTAACTTGTAAACATTCTCTTTGCTTCCTTGCAAAACAAGCCAACAAATAGCTAAAAAAGAAAATAGCTTCAGTTCCTCGCGCTCGATGTGAATAGAATACGCTTTGGGGAATTTGCTTGGAAACCACGGGATCTCAGAAGAACTTCAGCATATAACTTTGCTGTAATATGTTTTGTACAATAATGAAATCTTAACATGTAAAGATGTGTAATTACGTAGAATTGTGAAAGAAAAGTTAGGGAAATTTTCCCCTTTTCACAGTGAAATCTGTTATTTGATGTTGTGATATGAGGAGAATGAATGCCTGATACAGTTTCTCATTGGATTAATCCTTCATTTTGTGTGTCCTTTCCTTTCAGTTGGACATGTCAAGTGACCAGATAGCTGCAAATTTGCAAGCAGTTATTAACGAAGTGTGTAGGCACAGACCACTGAATTTGGGTAAGTGATTTTTTGAGGTAGACTTAAACTTCTCTATTGGCCTGTGGTGCTTAAAAAAAAAAAGTAAAATGTTAAGTAATAAGCCAACATGCAAATATAATAGCAACCCTATTTCTAGTGTTGAGATAAATAAGTGAAATTTAATTCTGCAAGAAATTCCTATCCTTTCATAATTTTTCAATTTAACCAAATTTAATTTTAGTTGTTTCGAAAGGCAGAGATCGATCTTCCATCTGCTGGTTCCCCTGAAATGTCCGCTGCAGCCAGGACTGGGCCAGGCTAGGGCCAGGCTGAGCCCAGGGACCCAGAGCTCCGGTCAGGGCTCCAGTGTGCGTGCCAGGGACTCATGTGCTTGAGCCATTGTCCGCTGCCTCCCAGAATGCGCATGGGCAGGGAGTTGGATGAGAAGTGGAGCTGGAGCTGGACTCAAGGCAGGCACTCGGATATGGCTGCAGGAATCCCAAGCAGTGAATAGCTCTGTGTCAAACACCTACCCCTTTTAATCTTATATATATAAATAAAAATAAATAAATAAATATACATCTAAATAAATATATATTTTAACTACACAAGAGCCATGAGTCATTTCTTAAAAGTGGCATGATCTGTGGGGGAATTACTATCCTGACTAAAATGTGAAACTGTTTTGGCCCTAGAACTCAGGCTTGTCTGGTGCCTTGTAGGTCATTCACGTTATTTCCTGAGATGAATTTCACTCATGGATAGTTGAACCATGCATGAATGCAGTATACTCAGTTCACTTCTAAGTTTACTTTTAGTCAGGTCTAGCTTCATAAATATATTCCTAACTAAAAAGCTATTAGTGGGGAAATCAGTGTCATGGCTCATTGTGTTAAGCCACTGCGTGTGGTGTTGGCATCCCAGATTGGCGTGCCAGTTTGAGTTCTGGCTGTTCTACTTTAAATCCAGCTCCTTGTTGGTGTGCCTGGCTGAGCAATGGAAGATGGCTTAGGCCTCTGTCATCCTAGCAGGAGACGCAGGTTCTGGGCTCCTGGCTTCAGCCTGAACCAGCCTTGGCCATTGCAGCCATTTGAGGAGTGAACCAGCAGACAGATGAACTCTTCCGTGTTTCTTCCGTGTTTCCTTCTGTCACTGTGCCTTTCAAGTAGCTAACTAGGTTTTTTTTGTTTTAAGTCAATAGTATATACATACTTCATTTATTAATTCTTTTCTCCTAAACATGGTTGTAATACTTAGTAGCTGTATGTGTGTAGATTCTTTTATGAATATATTTATTTTTATTTATTTGAAAGGCACAGTGTCAGAAAGATCTTCCATCAACTGGTTCACTCCACAAATGGCCACACTGGTCAGGAATGGGCCAGACTGCAGCCAGGAACTGAAGACCCCATCCCAGTTTGCCATGTGAGGATGAGGGGCGCAGACTGGCACCTGTTCTGCTGCTTTTTGAGGAAGCTGCAAGGGAGGCGCGGCACTTGGGACTCCATGTGGCTGCAGGATGGGATGTGGCATTTCATGCTGCTGACCATACAGAACCTGTTCCCCTAAGACTTATTTATTTATTTGAACATCAGAGAAATAGACAGAGAGAGAGAGAGAGAGAGAACTCTTCCTTCTGCTGGTTCACTGTTCAGAAGGCTGCAACAGCTGGGGTTAGGCTCGGCCAAAGCCAGGAGCCAAGTGCTGCTTCCTGTCTGACATGGGCCCAGTCACATGGGCATGTTCCACTCTTTTTTCGCAGGCCGTTAGCAGGGAGTTGGTTTGGAAGTGGAGCAGTGGGGACTTGATCTGCTGCCCTGAAGCGATGCTGGCAGCACAGCGTTTCACTTGCTGTGCCACAGTGCTAACCCTGTGACCGAGAACAGATTTCAGCTTAGGATCTTCTGAGGCTGTAGCAGGAGTGAGATGCTGGCAATGTTGTCATCTGCATTTCTTGCAGTGAAGCCCCTTCATACTGTTTTATGTGAAGATTTTAAATTTTTATGGAGTTTTACCACCTGTTTGGTAACACAAAGGTAGTGTCTGTGCTGACTTTTAAATAAATATATAGAATCTTTAAATTTAATGCAAATATCAACACCTACTCCCTTCACTCTTGACTTTGCAATAAAATGAATTCCAAGTGATCGTCTACTGGGAGTGAAAAACGAATCATTTGTGAAAACATGCGGCTTCGTGGACAAATCCCTCAGTTTCTAGAGCATATCATTTGTCTTCTACTCCTAGACATGAAACTGCCTTTCTTCCAATGTTGAGTATTAGTGCAGCTGTGCAGTCCTGGAGTGATGAAGCCGACCTGAGCCCTGTTCGAGTTCTTGTTGTGTTTTGTGTTGCTGCTCGGGAATCCGTGGAATATAATTAAAGCTGGTTTCTGCCTGCTGTCCTAGGGCCCTTCGTGGTACGAGCTTTCCTTCGAAGCGCCACAAGTGAAGGTTTGCTGTTAAAGATCGACCCATTGTTGCCTAAAGAAGAAACGGCTCAAGAAAAGAGTAAAGCCAGTATTTAAATGTCTTACATCGTGAAACTATTTGTAACGGATAGCGGCAAATACAATAAAACTGCACAATGTCTACATTCGTGTTGCTTCTTGTTCTTCTCGAAAAGTTTCACAATACAAAGTCTCAACGGTTTCAAAAATAACAGCAATTTTCCTCTGTGTCTGAATTTACCTTTTAGACCTTGCCACGTTTTCTTCCTTGAACCCAGATTCTACGTCTTTACAGCAGCAGTTTCCAGCTTGAATCATTTTCCCTGGGGAGCCATAACCTTGGAGGAAATTGTAATATCCCCTTCGCCCACAAGGCTCAGAATAGCAGTGTCATGAACTGCCTCACCACATGACCCTTCTAAAGCAAGAAATGCAAAAAATGCTCGGCCAGAAATACTCTGAATACCATTTTTTGATAGCATGAATATAAAAAGATGACTAAGCCATTAAAACATGTAGGTGGGTCGTTTTTTATGAATCAGTTTAAGAATAATATGCTGCATTTTTGTGATCATAGCTCACATTTTTATCATGCTCTGCAGACCTACAGCCAGAGTTGAGCCAGCCCCAAGCCCGGATCGTGGCAGTCCATCTGGTCTCCCGTGTGTGTGGCAGGTGCCTCAGCACCTGGGCCGCCACCTGCTGCTTCCCCGGGTGCTCTAGCAGAGAGCAGCGGCTGCAGTGGAACGGCCACGACCCGCACCAGTGCTCAGGTGGCAGCATCCCAGGCGATGGCCACACTGCAGGCCGTTGGCCTCACTGGATCCTCAACTCCTAAGTTTAATAAGGAATAGGTGTTTGTCAATGAGCATTCCTGTGAGGAGAGTAGAACAGTTTCACCCGTGGATGGATGATGAGGCTAACAAGGTAAGGGTCCGTCATCTGCCCATTTCCACATAGCGGCGAGTCCCCAGGTGTGTGCCAGCATGTGACAAGGTTAACAAAAGGGTAGGATTTGGACCTGCCCTTCCTGAGGTGATCTTCCACTTTTTCAAAGAGTGTTCAAATGCTTTTCCTTTATGAAATAGTGATGATAATAGGGATTTTGTTAACATCGTCTTTATAGATTTAGCAATTCTCATGTCTCTTAAATTGTTTTTGAAATTTTTGTGGTCTAGGTGCTCTGAAATAATTATGAACGATCACTCCCCCACTAAGCCTTTTTTTCCCACGGGAAAATTAAAATGTAGAGACTTGACCAGAAAAGCAGTCACGTTATGACAGGGCAGCAGTGGCACTTACCAGCTTGAGGAGTGCGTGTGACCTCACGTGTCACGAGGGATTCAGAGTAACAGTCCCGCTTTACGGATAAGGAAAGTGAAACTTGGGGAGGTCCTTTTCAGATAAGATTCAAACCTAAATCTGATGTGGAAGCTTTTAGGCTCCTTCAAGCCATTCTTAGTCACCAGGTGTGCCAGCTTTTGCATGTTCTAAAAAAGCCATTTGTTAAATAGTTTAAAATAGTTTGAATGTTGAGTAACCTCACTTGAGCGTCTTGGTGTGTGCAGTGAAGGGTTATGGCTGACGTCCAGGAAGCAGGAATGGGAGAGTGAGAGGGTGTGGGGGGCCAAGCCAGAGGGGACTGAAAGGACCCCCTGCTTTCTCACCAGTCCTTGAAAGTTTGTTGGTAAATGCTGACTTGAAGGTCCAGGTTCACGTGCTGGAAGATTCGTGATTTTACTTGTGGATTTATAGTATTACTATAGATTAAAAAATAATTGGCAGAAATGGGTGAGAATTCTACTACTCTCCGGCCGTCCTCCTGGTCCCTCGCCTTTCCCTGGTGATTACAGTGCTTTGGACAAAATCTGAAAGTACAGTTTATTCCTTCCTTATTTCTAGAAATGATGGCCTAGGTAGGAAGGTATGATGTTGCAAAAGGCCTTGTCACATCCTAGAAAGTTGCCTCTTAATCAGAACAAGTGAGGAAACATGGTTGAGAAACTTGGTCGAGGCAGAAATATCCCAGGTTTCCTTAATTGGCGTAAATTGTTCCCTATTCTGCCGTTAGAACATCTTAAGTGGCTAACAAGGACCTGGTTCCATGTTGTAAGAATTGTAGAATTATATTACCAGATGCACATCTCTGTAGTAGGGGAGTCAGCTGGTGGAAGCTCTCCCTGTCTCTTTCTGCCTTCCAACCTAAAACTAATAATTTAAAGTCTGGGTTCTAATCTTATGAGAAGAAAACCGATACTCTGTTATCCTCTCTAAAACAAGGCTGCCATAAAACGTCAGTAACCTTTCTAATCTACTCTTACGGTAAATTTTCATAATGCACATGGCATTTCACACATAGAAGTGATACAGAGTATTACCAGGGGTTGGTGCTGTGACTCAACAGACCAATCCTCTGCTTTCAAGCACCAGCATCCCATGTGCGTGCTGGTTCGTGTCCCGGCTGCTCCATTTCCCTTCCAGCTCCCTGCTTGTGGCTTAGGAAAGTAGTAGAGGATAGTCCAAGTCATTGGGACCCTGCCCCCATGTGGGAGACCCGGGGAGACTCCTGGCTTCAGATCAGCTTAGTTCTGACCATTGCAATCTTTTGGGGAATGAAACAGCAACTGGAAAATGGGAGATTTTTCTGTCTCTCCTTCACTCTGTAAATATGCCCTTCTAATAAGAATAAATAAGCCCATATAAAAATAAATATTATTACTAATGAAAATATATTTAGTGGTATTGCTGGGCATGGGATGGGGAGACCTGTTTCAATACCAATTTCTAAAAAATATATTTTTAAGATTTATTTATTTTTATTGCAAAGGCATATATACAGAGAGAAGAAAATACACAGAGAAAGATCTTCCCTTTGCTGGTTCATTCCCCAAGGGGCCACAACAGCCGGAGCTGAGCCAATCCAAAGCCAGGCCCACGAGCTTCTTCCGGATCTCCCACGTGGGTGCAGGGTCCCAAGACTTTGGGATATACTTGACTGCTTTCCCAGTCCACAAGCAAGGAGCTGGACGGGAGGTGGAGCAGCCAGGAATACAAACTGGCACCCATATGGGATCTCAAGGGCATGCAAAGACTTTAGCTACTAGCCTATATGGTGGCAGGCCCCATTTCTTAAAAAAAAGCTTAAAACAAGCAGTAAATCACAGTGCCCAGTAGGTGGCGAGCGCGGTCTTTCATACAACTGCTAAACATTAGGGTACTAGGGTAAAAGTACTTCTCAGTTGTACAAGTAAAACGTTGTAGATGACTTGCAGCATTGTTTTGGAGTGATTTTTTTTTTTTTTTTGTATTGGGGTGTTAACGCAAGGTTCTTTATGTGTCTAATGCATATATAGAAGTTTTAAAATAGAATTCCAGGTTTTATTCTAGAATTTTTCAAATGTGTAGAAACTAAGTTAACGAAACGACAAATGCATACACACGTATACCCCAAATTCAGCACTTTTTGAAAACATTTTTAAAAAGGTTTATTTTTATTGGAAAGACCGATGCACAGAGAGAAGGAGAGACAGAAAGATCTTCCATCTGCTGATTCACTCCCCAAGTAGCTGTAACAGCTGGAGCTGAGCTGACCCAAAGCCAGGAGCTAGGAGCTTCGCTCTGGCCTCCTACGTGGTGCAGCTCTCAAGCTTTGGGCGGTCCTCGACTGCCTTGTCAGGCCACAGACTGAGCTGGAAGGGAAGTGGAGCCTGTGAGTTGCCGGTGTTTGCAAGGTGATGATTAGCCAATTGAGTCACTTTTGAACATTCTGGGGTGTCAGTTCATCTGTTTATTTTAGTGGTCTCCCCCTGCCCTGCCCTGCAGTTCATCCTCAACCCTGGTCAGGAATTAAAAGCAAATCTCATCCATCAAGTCAGTTCACACCCAGGGTTTAAAAGCAGTCAGATCGTAATTAGAAGAAGATTTTTCGGGCCATTATTCCGACACCTATCGCTTTTATGTTTTGTGCTGGCCATCGAGACCCGTTAGTGGTTGGATTTCTATTTCTCACGTAGTAGTGGGCCAGACACCTATTGCTAGCTGACATCTTTAGCCACAGGGATTGCCTGTACATGTCAGCACTTTTAAAAAACAGGAAACTATCACTCCTTACGTTTTTACTCAATTTGAAAACTTTTCAGTTCCAGCTCCCTGCTAAGGCAGAGAGCGCGAGGCAGCAGGCAGCTCACCTGGGAAATCCTGCTGGAATCCTGGGCTTGGCTTTCTGTCTGGCCCCGCCCTGGCTCTGATGGGTATTGGATGAAGCTGCGTAGGAGACATTTATCTTCGGTTCTGTCCTCTGCTTTTCAAATAAAAATAAGTAAAAGCTTAGGAATAGTACATGCGGACATTTTGACAATCAGAGAAATGGTGATCATGAAGAAGTTAGGAATTCAGTGACGCATCACTTTGAGAACAGCTGCGTTCCATTGTGGCCCTTTGGCCTTCCCTGTGTGGGGGCTGCCTTCCGCAGTCGGCACAGGGCTGCCATCCTGGAGGACAGGCAGGCGGACTTTCCAGAGCTTCCTACGGCTTCAGGTCTTCAGTCACTTCCAGCTGGTAAGATGTCACTCCCCAAGCCCGAGTCCTTTACTGAATGGAAGTTTCCACATCTTTCTGTGTACTGTGTAAAACCTTAGCTGAGGGCGCTTCAAAAGCCCACGGAGAATAATGGAGTTAGAAGCTCCTGTGCAAAAATTTTGAAATCTGTGCTTACACGTACTGCTGTTTGCTAAGCTGATAATGTTTTAATGAAGCTTTATACAGAATTGTAAGTTCAATACAAAAACCTTGCATTGCTTACAGGGCTGTGCATAAGACCATGGGTGGTACGAGAAATGAATCACCTCTTCCATTATTAAACGTGTGTGGAGTGTATTACAGGGAGCTAGGAGCACAAGGACGAAGATTTCTTGGCTATCGTCGCCTAGGATGACATTGCAGCAGGCCACTTTATTTTTAAAATCTTCTTTAAAAATACCAAGTTACATACATAAACTGCCAAGCTGCTTCAAGTGGCTGGAGCATCCTGCGCGACCCACACCTGTGTGTTCCAATTTCCTCACGTCCTTGACCGTGCTTGGAAATGTCCATCTCTGTAGGTGGTGTAATAGATGTGTAGTAACACATGCTTTTCTTAAGAAAATGAATCATAGAGAAAGAATATGGGGAAAATGACACATTTTCGTGTATGTGCTGCTTAGAGGAAATACTATGTATTATAAAGCGTCCGAAGTCGTTAGGATTAATGTAGACTTCTTGGGGTGAAAATT